TTTCTCTGTGTAGCTTTGCGCCTTTCCTGGAGCTCACTTGGTAGCCCAGGCTGGCCTCGAACTCACAAAGATCCGCCTGCCTCTGCCTCCCGAGTGCTGGGATTAAAGGCGTGCGCCACCACGCCCGGCCTCCATTCAGCCTTTCAATAACTCCCTCTCGCTGTATCTTTAGACAACACCCAGAATTCAACTCTCAACACACACCCCCATTGCTGCTACTCTGTGTCAGACCCCACTGTCTGTCACCTGGATCACTCTAGGGGCCTTCTGACTCATCTCCCTGCTTCCAAATCTGTTCCTCAGTCGCGTACTATTCCGTGTGACAGCTATGGAGACAGAAGGAAGCCAGGCTCTTCTGTGTGAACCTTCCCAAGCCTTCCGGTCTCTCCCTCTGCACAGAGGCCCTGGTCTCACAATGGCGTAGGACTGGAAACTCATTAGATCCCCATAGCAAAACAGACGCTAGCTGAGTTACAATTCCTGAGCACAGGCCCGGGTCGAAAGCTCACATGTAACATCTTGGGAACAGGATCGGACTTGCCAAGAATGGCCACTTAGCCTTCCCTACAAGGTCCAAATGAGTGCCATATGGGCTTCAGACGGTCACTAGCTACCTACAGCAGCCATAGAAGGTTCTACAGCCCACAGTAAAGAGCATTTCAAGTTTCAAAGACTCTTTAAAAGTAAGTTGTCAATTTCAATAGCCACTGTGTGTGCCTTGTGATGCATATGACATAGCCTCTCTAAACTTCACAACTTCCAGGGGGAAGTGGGGGCCTGGGAGACCACGGAAAAGCGCTGGCCTCACACATACAAGGCCCTAGGGTTGGTCACAGCACTGCAAAACTAGCTAACTAAATAAAAGGAATTTTAGTCTCACATTACAGGTGACGAAAGAGAGACAGATCGTTTAAGGAACTTGTCCTATGTCACAGACATTAAAACAGGATAGGACAGAAGTCAAACATAAAACTGTAAGCTATGAAAGACATTTTAAACTCCTATTCTCCCTTGTTCATCTAACAGTGTTTTTTTGGTGTGTGTTTTTAAATCTTTTTAAATGTGTATGGGTATTTCCCCCCTACATGTGTGTCTGTGTACCACATGTATGGTTGGTGCTTGCAGAAGCCAGAAAGAGGGCATTTAGATCCCCTGGGACTAGAGTTACAGATGGTTGTGACCTGCTATAGATGTTAGGAATCGAACCCTGGTCCTCTGAAAGAGCAGCCAGTGCTCTTAGTCACCGAACCATCTCTCCAGCCCCTTGTCTGTTTCGTTTTTCTTATGAAAAAAAAAAAAATACAGGAGTGGGTGAGTATTATGGTACATGCCTAAAATCCCAGAACTTGGGAGGTAGAGGCAGGAGGATCAGGGGTTCAAAGTCATCCTCAGCTATAGAGGGAGTACAAGGCCAGCCAAGCTACATTAGAACATGTTGTCTCAAAAAAAAACCCCAAACTTATAAGGCTGGTGTTGTAGCTTGGTGATAGAATGCTTGCCTTGAATGCAGGAGACCTGAGGTTTGATCTCCAGTCCTGGCAAAACAAAACAATGAAACACAAATATGGAAATTTACTTGATACTTTCTACATGAGACTTATTCTATGATGTATGTAGTAAGCATCCCAAGGAAGACATTTTTTTATAGAAATCATTGACCTAAATATTCTAACACACATCATATCTTTCCAATCTTTGTGTCCTACAGTGGGACAGAGCAAGCAGGTTATCAGATGATGATGGATGGTTCTTGGTCCCATGGGAAACCCATGCTGAAGCCTTAGGATGGTTTCTAAGCACATCAATGCACAGGATTCTGAGGAGTCATGAAGATTGAGAGCGAAACAGAGGGCAGATTCCTCACAGCACCGAGTTGTGAGTCACACATGACACAGAGCGAGACCCAGCCTGAAGTCACTACAGCTGAGAGCTTGTGGGTCATAGGCTACCCACAACCAAGGAAGGCTATCAGTGTAGCCTACTGCAAAACCATAAGCCCACTTAAAACATTATGAAGACCTCTATGACAATTCTTGGGGAGGGGGGGATAACTCAATTGGGTGGCTTTCAATCACCAATGTTACAGGTGACATCATGTCACAACACAGAAAGGTTGGACATGCCTGCCATTGCAGCATCCTGTCTTGGCTCTCATCATCTTGCCTATGGCTCTGTAAATAACTCTTTCACTGCAGCGCATGCTGCTTGGGTCACAGAAAGCTGACTGAGGTGTTGAGGGAATGAGGAAAGAACAGACACACGTACAGAAAAGCTGGGGTCAGGTGGGCCGTGCACGCTCTGGTAGAGTGGCACCAACTATGCCGGAACTCAGAACTTCAGCAAGTTTATTATGGACAGCACAGGAGGAGGGGTTAGCCGGGCTCCGTAGGAGGTGTCTGCAGATGGGCAGTCTCTGGATTAAACATCCGGGAGGAGGAAGCTGCGGGTGTGTTTGAACACACTGGTCAGTCGTTCATAACGCTCATACTTGTGCACACTGTCAACGTTTGCACTCAGACCAGAAGAAGGCTTGGCCATTGTTCTGAGCCTGATCGAGGGGAAAAGCTTTGCCAGCTTCCCAGGGGTCCAAGGCCTTAGTCCTTGACATGGCTGGCTCATATCAAACAACACACATTCCCACAGAGCTTCACTCCCTCCAGACTTCACTCTCTCCCCACACTCCTTCATCAATTATTTTCAAAATCCCATCCAAGTTGACCTTCTGTTTCCTCAGGGCTCTGATGAACGGAAAAGACAGGATGCCAAAGAGCCTTAAGATCATGTCCCTGAGGACCAGCTGCAGGGACAGCGGATACTGAAGATTAGACTCGAGAAAGTACTACAGTCTATTTTAAAATGGCCAACACCACAGACTCCAAGATAGTATCGGGAACAATCTGATCATCTTTGGGCTAATTCAAACCTTTCTCATAGCTGGTAACAGTGGGATGAACACTGCTGGCTAGTTAGGAGCCTCAGTAATTCTGAGTTGTCAATCAGCAGGTGGGTGGATCACCCATACCAGGAATACAATCTAGAAAAAGGACTTCCTAAGCTAGGATCTCATGATCAGTCACCCACTATACATTAATCAGGGTTTACCAAAACACTTGTCCACAATTTCCACTTCTGTGGTATCAGAGATCTGTGGTCAACTGTGGTTGCAAAATACTAAATGGAACATTCCAGAAATAACTCCTAAGTTTTACATCGCACACCATTCTGATTAGCCTGATGATAATTTGCATCATTCTACACCTTCCTGCCTGGGGTAGAAGTCCTGTGGCTTCACATTGTATATGCTACTAGGCATTGGTAACTTAGTAGCCATCTTTGTTACTGGCTCAATTATCAGCCTGACTGTTGTAGCATTGCAATGTCTGCAATACTAAGTACTGTTATTATCATTATTGTGTGTGTGCATGATGCATGTATGTGGGCATTCTGGCACAGGTTAGAGAACAACTTTGAGGAGTCAGTTCTTTCCTCCCACCTTTATTGTAGGATTCAAATCACAAGTCTGGCGTGGCAAGTGCCTATACCCACTGAGCCATCCCAACTCAGCCATGTTAACATCTTTGACTGTGCCTAACATACAGGTTAAACTTCACCATAGACATGTATAGGAAGAAGCTTACTATCTATCAAGTTCAGTACAGCTCATAGTATTGGCCATCCACTGGGCAGCTTGGAGCAATTCCCCCACTGATAAGGGGGAGCTAGCTGTAACATTAACTGCAGAGGTTGGGGGGTGTAGTTGTAGACTCTTTCTGCAATCTAAACAACACTTAGCTCTTGCATTGAGTTTGCTAATTAAACAGCAAAGTGGCTTCCATACTTCAGGAGACTAAGAACATGAGACATTTCCCAGTTCATCACCTCAGACCTAGTACTACTTCTGAAATGATCTGGTGAACAGAGTAGAGTGGTGGAGTACTCGCCTAACATCAATGAAGCTCTAAAACCGACCTCCAGTACCACAGACAAGAACAATCTATCAACAGCAAACCAGGTCTGGTAGGGCAGGCCTGTAATCTCAACTGCTTTGGCTGAGGCTGAGGCTGAGCTGAGGCAGAAGGGAGGACCACAAGGTCCTGCCTGGGCTACAGAGTAAGCTCAAGGTTGGCCGGCCGACTTGGTGTCTCAAAAGAAAAGCAACAAGAGGGTGGTACTCCTACAGCTGCCCCAAGGCCCTCTAGGTTCAATACCAGTGCTGCCAAAAAAGGAAGCATTTTAACCCTGCAGCTCTTATTCACACACCTATCATCATGTTGATTTCTGAGAAACATCACTTCCTTTGACACACTTAAGAGTTGCAAGCTCTGCCTACAGGACAAAGTATTTCACACAGAAACTATTTTGGAAACAAAAAACCAAGATTGCTCCGATTCACCATGGTGGGAAAAAGAAAGTGTTTGGGAGTTTTGTTATTGCTGTTTTGTTTGTTAAATAAAAGCTCGGAATGGAATGCCCGGGTTCACAGCAGGGTCATGGCCCTTAGGTGTAGTCAGTTTATCCTTCCCTCCACCTGGGCGCGTTCCTCACTCTTTCAGTCAACAAGCATTTGATACAAATCATCACTGTCCACACCAGCCCAGGGGACCCGCGAGAGATCCAAGGAGGCCAGCGCCGCTGCAGTCAAGGACCCGAAGGCTCCCGGGAAACGACGGCGCTGCAGAGACCAATGAAGGCTGAGAGCGGGGAGTGACGGAGCAGGAGAAAACTTTCCAGCAACAACTTGGCAAATGCCAGCCCTCGGGCGCGCAGAGGGCGGGGACAGCGGCCTAGCGGAGGGCGCAGGGGACCGGCTGGGCCTGGGCTCTGGGACCACAGTCGTCCGAAGCCTGGGCTCCGTGTGTGGCCCAGAGAGAACACTGGTCCCGTCCAAGGCCGGGAAGGCGACGCGGGGACAGTGCGAGGCGCGCCCCGGCACTGCCAGGGGGTCCCCCACCCCCAGGCTCCCGGGTCCCCGCAGTGCTCGCGGCCTCGGCCGTTCCTACCTTCCTTGGCTTTCTTCCTCCGGGCCAGCGTCCCTCCGAGTTTCCCCAAGAACGAGTCATCCTTCTTGCGGGACGGAGGCGACTTGGGGGTTGGAGATTTGGGGACCGAGGGCGACTTCTGCGGAGAGGTGGCCATGGCGGCGGGACGCGGAGTTGGAGCTGGGCGGCCGCGGCGGGCGGCGGCGGGACTGAGGCTGCGGCTTTCCAAACGGAAGCGGAATTATTCCAGGCATTTGAGGCAGCTCGCTCGCCTTTCCCGTCCCTCGCTCCCTCCCTCGCGCCGCCCTCCGCCCTGCAAGGAGCTGCTGCGCCTGGGGCCCCGCGCCCCGGGCTGTCCCGGCTGCGAGGATGCCCAGGCCTGCCGCTTGCTGGGGTTTATGCACGCAAGGACACGTGCATGCAAGGGGGACAGTAAGCCTTATCTGGAGCCTGGAAGCCTTCATTTCTCCCCTGCCCTACACACACACACACACACACACACACACACACACACACACACACACACACACACGGCTTGGCACAAGTCAGGATCCGCAGGGAATCAACCTTGCTGCTGGGGTTCGCTTGCTCTACCCCTTGCATAGGTCCCTGTATTGATAGCATTCTCGTGTCTTGAAGAAGTCAACGAACCAAAATGGGCTCTGGTCCCAACAGACTTCTGCAGGAATCTGCGGGCTTCGACCCTCTCTCCACACTCAACTAAAGCTGGAAGTCCAAGATGATAGAGACCCGGCTTATTCTTGCAAAGCATCCATGGGTCTGGCATCGGAATTGCTTGTATGAAAAGAGCAGATGTAGAAACACAAGTGAGGCAGGCAGAACCATGGACTCCTGCGAGACACTCATCCTAACCTCTATCTAGCCAAAAGCAATAGAGTTAGTTCCAGACTCTTTTGGCCTGACATTGGAGTCACACAGGGCAGTTTCAAAGACTCATGCTGGCTAGTGTGCTTCCTCGTCCTAAGTTCTGGCTTGGGCTTTTGTGTTTGCCTATCTCTTTCCCATACTTACAGGGCACCTTGGTAACTCACCAGCCAAGAGTTAAATACTGTTTCCTCAGCTCTTTCCCTGGTGAAACAGAAACAAATTATCTACCCCTCCTTACAGAGAACTGCCAACAAACTACAATTCCACTGAAGTCAAATTTGGGGGCGGGGCAATGAGCTTATCAGACCTAGTTACAGAGCCTGGGTGAGGGGTTACCGACAGGAGTGTGGGTGACCCCAACGCAGCCGCACCATTGGAAAGTCCTGCCGCAGCATGGATGAGTTCTCCTGACGGTGTAAATGGAGCCCCCTTCAGCTACCCTTGTGCAGCCTACTACTCTAGTGCCTCCAGAGACCCTGGGCAATTAGGGCAGAATTATGTATGGGGGTTGCAGGAGGAAGTGGCCAGAACTGAGAAGAGAAGCCAATGCCTCTCCCAGCTCCCTCCTTCTATAAGGAAACATCTATAAGGAAACAGGCCCCGTCTCTAGGTGTCTGTGTGTGGGAGCGGTTACTTTGCAAGTACTCACAGCTGCCTAGAGGAGGAGGAGGGCTATTATGCTCTGAGGAGGGTGCTCTACAACACACACACACACACACACACACACACACACACACACACACACACACACACACACCTGTCCTCTAGCCAGACTGATAGAATCTGACTGAACACCTGACTCAAAGGGAGCAAGAGTTTGGACTGAGCTGGAGAAACCAGGGTCCAGGCTGGGCACTAGGCTTGCTGGTCATGCTGCATCCTGGCAGGGGTGTCTGTTTTCAGCCCCAGGCATGCTGATGAGTGACGCACATGTTGATGAGGGGTACATGTGTCTTAACTTACTTCCTATTGCTCGGGTAAGGACTAGAACCAGAAGCAACTTTGGGGGGGAGAGGGTTTATTTCACCCCCTGGGTTGTCGTCCATCACGGAGGGAAGTCAAGGCAGGAGCTGACGAAGAGACCATGGAGGAATACTGCTTACTTCCTGGGTGGCTTCGCCTGGCTTGCTCAGTTTGCTTTATTATACAACCCAGGAACACCTGCCCAAGGGTGCTACCACACATAATGGGATGGGCTCTTCCATGTCAACCAAGAAAATGCCTCACAGGCTTGCTTCCAGGCCAACGTGATGGGGGCATTTTCTCACTTGTGGGTCCCTCTTCTCAGATGACTCTAGCTTGTGTCAGGTTCACCAAAAACTAAGCAACACAACATGCACTCAGAGGGACAGAGGGCCTGATCTGTCATGTGTGTGTGTGTGTGTGTGTGTGTGTGTGTGTGTGAGAGAGACAGAGAGAGAGAGACAGAGAGACAGAGAGACAGAGAGACAGAGAGACAGAGACAGAGAGAGACTCCAAACATCCAGAGTAAATAAAGAAGTGTCCTCAAGAGGCCACCCGGGCTAGACATGATAGTACACACCCATAATCCCAGCACCCAGGAAGTGAAGGCTGGAGAAGGGGTTTAATGTCATAGTCAGCTCCATAGCTAGCGAGACGGTCTCAAAGACCATGTGATAGTCTAGGCATGAAAACTCTTGGGATCTTGCATCTCTTCCCATCCCCACATGAAGTTACGGCAAGGCCAGCTGTGCTTCCATTTGAGAAGACACTGCTACTAAGCCTTCTTGGAACCACTCACCGTTGTGTGTTCTAACCCGCACACTGACTACCACAGGTTCCTGAGAACCATGGGGTCCCAGCAGAGTGTGGATTTACTTATGTCTGCCCAAGACTTGCATTTGACCTTTCTGGAACATAATAATTTTCCTGGTGCCTCTTACCAAGCAGAAGAGGAGTTGAGATGTCTACTAGCCCTGGACAGTTTCTACACACACTCACTCACTAAGGAAACACTGAGGCAGGCCACAGTTGTGCTTCAATTATATCACTAACCCTTCTTGCTCAGAATCTCAGGCACAAGAAGACATCTTCCACACCTGCACACTATAAGCTCTGATTGCGGTGTCTAATCCACACAGCTCAAAAGCCTTCTATTTCTGAGTCTCTATTTCTTCCCTTACTAAAGGAGGTGGTTGGAATAGAATAATGATTCTTGAGTTTGATGGGGCACTGCAATCTCCTATGAGTTTGTTATGAGTATTAACCAGTATTGTTTCCAGAGATTCTGACTCGAATAATTCGAGATGAAACCAAAGGGTAGGGATTGTTAAAATATCATCAGGTGATGTTAATGTAAGTGGTCCACATGTTGGTGTTGCAGGCTGCTTCTGGCTCTAACATTCTATGGGGCTGTCACAAATGGCTGATAATTTTCTGTGTGCACTGAAGATGTCTGAAACATAAAAGCCTCCAGCTATTCATGGAGCTCTTTAAGTTGCCCATGTATGGACTTATCTCTATACAACCCTCTTGGAAAATATTATGGTCTTCTATATACTTCGGAAGCCACTGAGCACAGCTGAAAGGAAGTCAGTCTTGATGGTTGAACACGGCCTCCCAGAACATGCAGTCAACCAGCTGTGCAGGCAGCAGAGCTGGGCTTGTACACTGACGAGGGGACTCTTCCTTGGCAGAATCTCGACAGTATTGGAGTGGGAAGATAAGATATGGATGCTGATAAGGTTTCCGAATCTGGACAGAGACAGACCTGTGTGTGTGTGTGTGTGTGTGTGTGTGTGTGTGTGTGTGTGTGTGTGTGTGTGTGAATTTGGCTAAGGATCATGTTCAAATCTCTAGAGTTGGCGAATGCATGCGGAGGCTTTTGGCAGTCTGGACGGTAAGTGGTCCGTTTCCGCCCCTACCAGCAGAGCTCTCCTGCTTTGTCGCTCCACTTTCTTCTCTTGAGGATGGTCTCTGACTGAAACTGGAGCTTTGTTGGTGGCTAGGAAACTCCACAGGCCTCCCACTTCTGTCCTTCACAGTGCTGGGGATCAGATGGCCACACTCAGCTTTAAAAAAGAAAACGTGTCAGGGTGTTTTCCCTGAATGTATGAATGTACGCTAGGTGCATACCTTGGAGTCCAGAAGAGGGCAATGGATCCCCTGGAACTAGAGTTACAGACTGTTGTGATCTGCCATGTGGGTGCTGGGAGTCAAATGCGTGTCCTCTGGAGGTGTAGCCAATGCTCTTAACTGCTGAACCATCTTTCTTGCCCACATACCCAGATTTTTATGTGGGTGCTGAGAATTTGAACTCAAGTCCCCATACTTAAGCACAAGTACTCTCACCCACAGGCCATCTCCTTAGCCTGACTAACTTTTAAAATAAAGTCATGGTACTCTGTGCTCTGTAGGATGCTTTTTCTGGAGGCCTCTTCTCTAGCCTCTCAGTGGCCCACACCACTCAAAGATCCACAGGTCCTAAACTGTCACCAGGCTCTCCTTGGGGCATCATATTTCTTTGCAGTCCTGTGCTCTTCCCAGGCATGCTCTTGTTAGTCTGGTCCTCTTCCCTCAAGAGCCCAACACCCACCTGTGTGTTTCACAAGATGGTTCATATATTGCCCAGGCCCCATTGGACATCCTCACACCCATGCACATACAGGTAGAACCCATGCACATACAGATAGAACCCATGCACATACAGGCAGAACCCATGTGCATACAGGCAGAACCCATGTGTATACAGGCAGAACCCATGCACATACAGGCAGAACCCATGTGCATACAGGCAGAACCCATGCATACACAGGCAAAACCCATGCACATACAGGCAGCACTAACTTGACTCAGTGGGTTACCAAGAGAGGACATGAACTTGTAAGGAGTTGTCTGGAAGGAGTAAATGGGGTTGCTGAGTAGATGTGATCAAAATACATTGTATCTGTACATGAAAGTCTCAAGAAATTTAAAACTAAATTTTTGTAAAGAGGAGCTAGGGAAATGGCTCAGTGAGTAAGGGTGCTTGCTATGCAAGTATGAGGACCTGAGTTCAAATCCCTAGCACCCACATAAAAGGCAGGCAATGGCTGTGCATTGAGGCTGAAGGAGCAGAGATAGGAAGATTTGGAGAACTTGCTGACCAGCTAGCCTAGCCAGGGCAGCAAGTTTCCAATTCATTGGGAGACCCTGTCTAAAGGCAGTTACATGGAGAACGATAGAGATAGATGCACAGGTATCCCAACTCTCACATGCATAACACACACACACACACACACACACACACACACACACACACACACACTAGCAAGCCCCATATGGCGACACTTACCTGTAGTTTCAGCACTCAGGAGGCAGAGCTTGAGATCACCACAGGCTTGAGACCTTACCAGAGATAC